GTTAAGGGAATAAGTCGAATTATGTCTTAAAGTTTGTTAACATAAGTTGTGTTATTACCGTTAAGCATTCATAAACTAAAGTTACGCAATCCGAAAAAACATTAAAAATATATACATAGAAAACATGATCAACCAATAATCAATAAAATAATGGTTTTTGTTGAAAAGTGTCGATTTTAAGTTATTCCCTTTTTCACTGGAGGCACTGAATTATGGGTCTATCTATCCGATCTATACTGTGGGCACTGGATGAGGAGGTCCCAGATTCTATTCCCGGTAGGCCACAAAAAGAACTTTTCTAAATTGGCATGGTCTGGATGTTCTAGGAAGTGCCCCAGAGTAAATTCCGTAACGCTGTTACTCATAGCCATGCGATTTTTTTTCACGCACTCTCTCCCCTTCACTAATTTGAGACTAGGCAATAATTGTTGTGGCTGTCTAGCACAATAAAAAAATTGTTTCAGTATACAAGTCTTATAAATTGTTAATTAAACATTCTCAATTTGTAGAATTACTTGACTCAGTAACTAAAAGGTATGGAATTCAATATTATCTCCATAATTATCTTTACATCAATTATCAAACTATGTCTGTCAACGGGCAGCGCAAATTTAATTACCTATCGATTATTTAATAAAAGATGTGATGGCTTGCTGTGTTGAATATGTTACGTAAGCTTGCACTTTACGTCCGGCCCGACCTCCAGAAGGTCTCGGGGCACTCCTTTGGCGAAGAGGCGCGGTAGAGCGGGCAGGTCGTGTCTCATATTGGAAGTGAAAGTAAATGAATGGCGGAGGCTTAATTAGAGAGGAGACCTGCGGCTGCGCCAGTCCCTCTGACACCGCCACGATCATCGCTCGTGCCGCGCACCACCCGTCGTCACACGCGCATCCGTTCGCACGCAAGCGCATCACAGAAGTCGCACAAGTTACAGAGGTACGCGCTGCACTAACGATGCACCTCTCCCAAAGTGAAAACGACGATTATTTTAAAACGATGTTCAGGCAAAATGTGTGTGGAAACTTTATATTTAGAAGAATTAAAAAGTTTCGGATCAAACTTTTTGCCGCTGATCTACATACAGTGCAAAACGCGCAAGTGCAACGATAAGTTAACAAATAAAATTTAAGTGAAGTGCTTTGATTTGCAAATAATTACAGATATCAAATTCTACATTAAGAATCATTAAGGACGTTGTAAAATTTACACTTATATTTTTCCCGAACATCGTCATTCAAGTGCCTGCACGACAGTATGCAACTTTAGCACGTAAAAATTCTTCGAGAAAGGTTCACTGATACGCTTCTAGTTTTAATCGTTTCGTTAAGTATGCGTAAGCGTCATGACGAGCGCTTTCGGTTACCATAAAATGCGTTCCAAATCGTCGATTTCTCGCGTTGAGCACCTTTTCACGCAAACGGTTAAACTCGCAACAAGGAGGTCAGCGAGGCGAGCTTTGCTTTCACAAATATAACAAAATAAATTCATCTCACGTATCGATTGTCCTCGGGCACTCGTGATCTGCATAAATAAAAGAAAGCGAGCTTGTAAGACGGACCTGTTCACTGACCACTTTTGTCAATTTTAATAACAGTCTATAGATAACGGAACTCAAAGTAGGTAAGTGCTAATTGGATTAGAGTATCTCTGCACATTTCTTGATTAACGCAAAACTGATTGCAATAGATAGCTCGCTCCATAGTTTAATACTCTGGACGATTTTATAATACCCATATCAGAAAACAATATATTCTCATAAGCATTATCTTGTGAGAAATTATGTGAAATGGGAAAATGACGTCAGATTTAAAGACTGTCATCTTCGCTCTCACCAGCCACGCCTTCGACGACGGATGAAAGTTTTCTTTGCCTCAACATTCCGTTGAGTTGTTTAAACTGCACCTGTGTATACCAATATATACGATAAAGCCTTTTTGAAAGAAAGAACCAAGAAATCCATATCAAAATTTACGACAATTTTTTCTGAGACTATTTTTAGTATGCAATTCTTATGAACAAAGCAAATGGAGTTGTTAATAATCGATGTTGAAAACTTTATTATTAATATTTTTCCTAAATTCACACAGATGAGCCGGCACACGTACCTGGCAGCAGTAGCCTTCCTGGCTGTGATCTGCATAGTCAACGCCCAGCGCCGCCTTGCCCTACCCGACCCAAGAAGTTGTGCTAACAGTACGTAGAGCAAAAAAACAATCTCACAATTACAACAACATATGACTAACAACTACTAGTAGTTAGTATAAATAAGAAATATCTTTATAATTGTCTCACTTGGTCGACTTGCAGAATCAGGAGATGTTGTCCAATGTCTTGATTGACCTTAAGCCCTTACCTACAAAAATGTTATACGATGCCTATAGGAAGATACATGTCGAAAGATTATCCATAAAGCAGAACCACATGACTGCCGTCGACGAACTAAAATGCGGCTAAGTGACAAGTGGTCCAACATTCGTTTTAAATGGCATAAGATAGAGCTCAAAATTATCTATTTAAAAACAGTTAAAGTTATTTAAGGAATCGGGATATCGGAACTTACCCTAATTATAATATACATAGCTAAAATATTATTACACAATTTCATATTCTTTTGTCACATAGCCGCGTTTTAGTTAACGTACGGCTAATGAGCAATAAATAAATAAAAAAAATAACGAAAATAAATAACTGCAAAATCCTTGCCTCGTCATAACTTGTAATCAAACCAAAAAGTTTGCATTGTTCAAAAACTAAGTACATTTCCACGCGAAAAATCTACATACCTACTACAAATCTATATACTACTATTTAAACTTCCTAATAAAGAAAATGAAAAGAATTTTTTTTTTCAATTAATACAGCCAGGTTTTGACAAGAAAGAGAGAGAGAGAGAGTGAGAGCAAAATCTTGCCTTTTACAGCATTCTTTGAAGTATAGTAATTACAGCTAGGTACTTTCCACTCTATATTTCAATATAATTAAGCACGAGCAATAATCTCAAGATACAATCGTGTAACATTAGTCCAAAAAGACATGAACAGAGTCATTATAGACTAGGCAAAATTTTTGAGAAATTTCCGAAACGGCGGCATTATGTATGACAATTGTGTAATTTCACATTCTTTTACAAAAGGTTTAACAACTTGACGCTTGGATACAAATTCAAAATATTCTCACTTCATGGGTAAACTTGAAATCGTCACATTTATTATAATAAGTACTTACTTAATATAAGTAAGTACTTAGTACGAATAGTAAGTAGGTACTATACGTAAAGCAGATTTATTATGCCTTTATGTATCATTCTTTTTACTCAGGTATGTATTTTTACCCGACTTCAAAAAGGGAGGAGATTCTCAATTGGACTTATATTTTCTGTGTATGTTACGCGATTAGTCCATCATTTGTGAACCGATGTGACGATTCTTCTTTTCGAGTTCTTAGGTTCTTTAGATTCTTATTTTGTTAAAAAAAAGGCACACCAGTATTGGTCCCATTTAAATTTGAAGAAAATATTTCACCTCGAATGGTGGCAAACTAGGGGATGAATCGTTTCGAGGACTTTCCGGTAACCGATATCAATAAAACTTGGCAAATATGTAGTTCCACGAATTTACGATTTCAATACTAGTCGTAAATCCCGTAGGGGCATGGCGGGACGAGTAAATAAAGTTAATCGCTTATTCGTTTTCAATTCAATATCATACGGATATAAATTAATGCTTAGCATAGGTCGCGGGGTCATGTTCCAATACGTGTACACACAGTATCAGACACAAGTTTACGTGACTACTTAATTGTAATATGTTTTTAAACTATATTTACAAATAAAAGCTGCGTGAAAAGTGTAAATACACAAATATGAACAAGCTTCATAAACTTAGTTTTCAATTACTTTAAACAATACTTTATGTATGCGAGTCAAAATTCATTGGAGGCAGTACAAAAACAGGTAAAGAAAAGGCAAAAAGTACTATTAAGTGTTTTATAAAATACATTTGCATAACGATGACGGTGGCTTGTAGCGTAATTAGTTGCTCTGAATGGTTGCTTACTAACTTAGTTCCTGTCTGTAACAATGTATGAGCTTTTTATAGTAACTATTACATCATTTTCATTGTACGTTGGTGTCATAATTGCATGTAAATGTATCTTAGACCGTCTGTACACTTTAAAAGGAGCAATGTAGTTAGTTGTTAAAAGATGCCTTGATGGTCATATGACTCGGTAATGGTAGTTCACCTTGTCGACGCTTTACCCTACATGACCTGATGTTCTTTCTACACTAACAAGTAGTAGATATGTTCTACGAGGTGTTTGATGTACATAGCAAAATGTTGAGGTCGTACGCCAATTTACCTTGTCGGTAAATTATTTTTAAGGTCCAATAATTATTACTTATGCCATGTCAAGGAAATGTAAATATTACCATTAGACGACGAGTAGTGATGACTCAAAAGTTTACTAGACGGTTTGCTTGATAATATAAGTGTAAAAGATAATCTACCGACTACGATAAGAAGAGATCTGGCAGCCGGTATCTAAAGCATACCAAAACATGTCTATAATAATTAAGAGTACAAGCATGTTTTATGATGATTTAACACAAGATTTCCTCTCCAAATATTTGTGTTTTTTATTTAATTGTGTTTAATTTTGGTATGTTGACCTCTTCCTATAATAACTAAAAAATGTTGTAAAGAACAGTTTTGAAGTTTCAAAAAAGTAAAAAGCTACGAGGAAAATGAAACATGTTTCAAAATAGAATTAAATATATATATCACAGTTGAATTTTTCAAAGAGTGGGTTTATAAAGAAGTGACCGGTCACCTATTAAACTTTTTTTCTTAAAGCCCCCCGTAACCAGTATGTATGGCAGTATTTACAGTGTACAGTACCGTATTAGGTTGAAATTCTTGATCTTTCACCTTCTGATCCTTGTCGGTTTAAAGTTATGAGCCGATTAACACGCAACATAAAGTCCGTTCTGGGTAAACATTAAAAATAAGTACGTATACTTATTAGTTTTGAGAAAAAGTTTATACTTATCGCACATCTACAAACAATTTTCTGCGTCGTAAGTAGTTCTTGAAATTATTGTAACTTATTTACTATTCATAAAATAATACTCCAAAACATTTTGGTACTTATTTATTGTTGCATTCCCATAAAATTGCTTGCTTTCCTTAATCTTTTTCGTGACATAATCAATAGCGCATGTTTCGTAATGTTTGTGTTGTACGAGGTAAGAGGTGGTTAAAAAATATGACTTTATGGTTAAACAACTTTCACCCTTCAATATTTTACTCTCACATCAGTGACTACTTTATTACCTACCTTAAACCACAAATAGTTAAGTAACGATTTGCTCATACAAGATAAAAACGCTTTATCTTCTGTGTTACAATTTATTTTTCATACTGTTCTGGGAATTAGGTAAACTGAATTGAATGCTTTCGCAATATAAGCCCGCATGAGGTGCGCCTTTGGTGCGATGGGAGCGTTCGCTAACAATCGATCCGCATTCATCGAAGGTACTCAGTACAAAACATACAAAGATCCTTTATGTGTACCGTACGATTACCGCGCAACTAATGTAGGTGACCTGTTGAGTTGTATTACGATTTTTCCCATTATAAGGTCACCTTTGGAGTGCCAGTTATATTAAAAAGCGATGTATACAATTATCTGTAGCTGAGGTAAAGAACCTTAAGTGCCAAATAGTAATTTTTACTGCAGAGAGTTTAATGGGAAAGAGAAACGGATGGAATGGAAGAAAAATAGTGGATAACTAAGTGAGAGCACCGACTGTACACTAAAGCTTTGTTTGCAAAAACATCTAAATTCCAAAGTATGAACTTAAGGTCCCTTACTATAATTAAACAAACAAAAGATACGCTTAGGTATATTAAAAAGGCGAAAGTTCGATGTTGCATAGCAACATCCAGTAGTTCATTGATTCAACCAAGAGTTGAAATCCAAATAAAACTCTACATTTTACTAGTCTGATGCTCAATAGGAAAAATTAATATTTCGGTTCATTCTTAACCAATTGCTAGTTATAATAATGGGGCTATGTCCAGTAAATCTTCTTCAAACTACGCTATACTCTACACTTGATTATTCGAATAAGTAGAAGATAATATACAAATGACAAACTTGACATCGAGATATTAACTTCTTAATTTCCTTAAAACATCGTAAAATAATTTGTTAATTTGATACATAGGTGCATAAATAAGTCATGAACCCTTGTGAGATTCAAGGTTGTATTTGGTTTGCGTAATATATTTGAAAAATAGCTGATCATCTGGAGATTTTAATTGTAAATTTAAATTGATGTTTATAACGAACGGGATTTAATAACATATGAATACACATTTGGTCTGTAGAATACTCTTTTCTTTTAGTGGAATTACATTTTCCTAATTTTGTTGTTTTTTTTATTTAAGTTAAGGATTTCTATGTGATCAGGTTACATGAGTTGTTCCGTCTGTGGGTAAAGTCTAGCTTAATTCATGCTAAAAATAGGTAAACAACACGCTTGGTTCTTAGTAACAGAATACTAATTGTCTGCTGTTTTGGCAATGTTGTTAAAGCACAATCCCGACAACTTTCTCCGCGAGATGTTTACGTTGTTCACACCTCTTTGTGCTTTTCAATAGCAAGTATAGTATGACGATCGTGTCTCATTGACCGGTTACGTCAATTACGTAATTCTACTTCCACGGAATATAAAACTTCAATAGCTATGCAAAATTACTACAATGTTAAATTAATTATTTTATTGCAGTCTCTCTCGCACACTCTACGTTACGTAAAATGACATTTTCTCGCTTTACGGAAGATTATCAGATAGTTCCGGTAGTATGTATGTTTGGAAGATGTGCGAACACGTCATGCATTTTCGAAGACATGTGGGAGAGAGGCCTAGAATGTAGACTTTCTATTAGTCGTTACGAAAGAGTCGCTCCATTAAACAACCTGACGATGAGCCTGTTTTGATTGCATGTCATTTCATGGGTGATAATGGGTGGCATTAGAGTGAGAGCTTTATTGCCGCGTAATTGAAATATTCTGTAAGTAGCTATGATTGAATAATCTAATCTTGAATACTAATCGTTAATTATTGCAAAAGTAACCCCCACATTTTGTTTATTTCTTAATGTAAAGAGGGAGGCAAACGAGCAGACGAGCCACTTGATGGGAAGTGATCGTCGCCCATTTGCAACATCAGATGAGCTGCTTATGCGTTGCCAGCCTTTGAGAGTCCTATAAACACATTTTTTGAAGAACCCATGTCATCATTAAATGTCATCGCGCAAAGGAAATACTTCAGGAGGAAGATCGTTCCATATCTTACAGGTTTGAGGAAGGAACGAACGAGATGCCCGCGTGGTCTTACAACGCCAGGCATCTGTGATCAGATGTGGAGATGGACTCTACTATTTTGGCGGGAGGTGCGATGGTGGAAACGAGACGGTGGCACCAGTTCAAACAGTTCCACAGAGCACTAGACCAAGTGTCCCAATACTCTTAGAGATGGCAAGGGCAGCGCTCTGTAACTTTGGCGCACAAATGGGGGTTTTTTGCAGTAAACGCGCAGACTTATGTCTTTGCGAGGTTGAATTGGACCAGGTTATCTTTCGGTCCCATTCAGATACCTGCTCTAAAGAATCTCGATTTTGGACACAAGTTGCAATCTGTTTTGTTCCACTTGCGGATGATATTTGTGCGAACTGTACAATAGGCATCATCGGTACTGTCATCCGCATAGCAATGAATGTTACTACTTGATGAACAGGGTTGGTGATAGCTCAGATCCTTGCGGAACGCCGGCGGAAGGCGTTGATGAGCATGGTATCCGCGCACAATCCGTCCACAACGATTTTTATGCTCCACTCAGACAGAAAGCTGGCGGTCCAAAAGCGCAGAGCCCTTCTGGAAGCCCGTAAAATGGTAGCTTCGATAGAATCGTCTTGTGCCAGACCCGATCAAAAGCCTTAGCGATATCTCAGCGCACAACCATTGCTTCCTCCTTGCTCACGATGGCTGCTGCCCATTGGTGTGTGAGATACACAACAAGATCACCAATACCACGACCACGGCGAAAGCAGTACTGGCAGTCGTTAATTAGCTGGCGATCCTCGATATAATATAAGAGCTGGTTGTTTACTATATACTCCATCACCTTGGAGAACTAAGAGGTCACCCTACTTGGGTATGCGGTGAACGCAAGCTATCTTCCATGAAAACGACACTTTACCTAAGTGGTACGAAAACGCGAAGAGGTGCGTTAAGACCGGAGCCAGCTCGGGAGCGCACGTCCTGAGCACAATAGCGGGTACGCCATCGGGACCACTGAACTTCCTGACGTCGAGTCGAGGGCAAAAAGAGCACGCCGCCGTAATACACTTTGCGTGAAGCGGATTTCGGGCAGGCGCACTTCTCGAAGTCCTGCACTTAATCCAGAAGTACGTCTAGTATTATCTTCATAGTGTGGTAATTAAAGACCTACCTTAATGGTGATAGTGATCTTGTGTGGACTTCAACAATTGATTTTTAATAATACAGTAGGTATAATACGAATATGACATGACTTTTAGACTCATTGCAATAATCACCGATTCCTTTGAAATCTGTGAGAACCAACACAAATGAGCGCCGTTGTGTAAAACTGTGAACGTCAAGGCGTAAAGATAAACACTATTTCGAAATTATGACTACCTAACTCTGTCGTCATTGAAGTTTCAATATGCTTTTGTACAAAGTGCTTAGTGGTCTGTAGCTTACATACAATGTGTTACAACACTTGCTAATGTGTGTTTTGTTCTCCTAATCTCTCATAATGTGCTACATGGATACAACACCTTTTTCAAAACCGCATCCGCAATAACGGACGCAAGCAATATACATTTGTTCAATAGGTAATTAACTGCAGAAAAGAATTTTTTAGAAAATCTAAAGTAGGTACGTTATTTTTAATCTATTATTCTAATTTGTGTGCAGGAGTCAGACACTCAACATACCGCGACGCTCGAGGAGTGTTACACTCGTACTTCTTCAGTTGGGAACATGCACCAACCCGCAACCTAGAAGTGGATTGGCTGGATGCCAGGAACATCTGCCGGCGACATTGCATGGATGCCGTCTCTCTCGAGACCCCTCAGGTAAACGTTTGTACCAATATATTGTGCTTTAAATCGCAATAAAGATCTTAAGGTGCACTGCCACTGCGCCCGTCACCCTGAGACATAAGTTGACGAGTCCTATGTGCCTGTAATTTCATCAGCACCAAACCAGAAATAAAATAGACTAAAAAATAATAGAGTCTAAACTAGGTAAGATGGCAGTACTTCTCTGGACGAACTCTTTCACAGGGAGCTCTACTGCTACTATGTTTTAACTGTTGCTGCTTGTTTTTGTAAACCACTCACCCACAGGTGGTCACAAACATTTATCACATACTTAGCCATATTTAATATCATTGTAATTAAAACATTTTCTAACAATGAAACGCGTTGATGGAACAGTCAAGGTCTTTGAACATAAAAACAATTGTTACTATGCCACGAAATGGACCTCAACACGGTGTTTTGTGCTCTTTAATCTACAGCAACATCAACATACAACAAACTATGGACCTTGAAACATTCAGATCATTAATATAGTACTAGATAAACGCATTTATGTACGCAATTCTCTCGAAGATATATCACGCAACAGGGTCAATCGTGATGATGCGTTCACTTTCAGTATCATAGTATGTACTACGTGGGCATATTTAACGTGCAGTGTAGCAATTTGGACCAGCAATTTGTATTTCGTAAGGACAAAATAGATTGCCGCAAAAAGTGCCGTACACTATTCACCTCTGTGACGAGACGAGTGACGTTCATTCATTACCGTTTGATGATCATGTCACGAATAACTGAAGTGACTTTATTGTTAATTTTATTACGACTAAACATAAAGATTGAAGATTCCGGAATGGGGTTTACGTCGGAACTCATATACAATAGCACAAAAACCACTATATACCTAACTCGTTTGTTTATGCGTTACGTAGTAATTATAAAAGCCATATAAAAACAACTTATAAATGAGTTACTCGATGTTAGTTCGTGTTACCTTTGTACATTTATTATCCAATTGTTTGCACTTATCCGGGAGGCAACAGTGGAAAATGAGCATATTTTCTCTCAACACTTCCTGTCACCGTCGCGGTTGTAAGTTTTGCGATAAGTATTCGAGACGGTAGTGGTGGGAGTTTCGAGGCGCAATACATCTCATTGTTGCTTTTACATACCGTGTTCCGACATCCGGCATCGCGTGACGATTAGTGCAAAGCGTATTCACCGAGTAGAGTTATTAGACTTACATCAATTATGCATTAGGATAGAAGATTGTTTCGCTTTGTAGAGCGTTGAAGGCGTCGCGTGAAAGGGGTGCAACGGCCGAGTGCGCTATGTGGAGGCTTGGGGCCGGGGAAGTGGCACGTGGCACACATTCCTGTTGCAGCCGTGTTGCCCACTTTTCGTGCCGGACGTCGACTTCCCGGCGATCGCTAACTACACAACCTTATTATTGCTTGCTTGTTTTGCTTTTTTTACGACAATTTCACTTCTCAGATGACTATTAATGTTATTGCCAAACAGGATATGACGTAATGCAATTTAATGTAGATTATTCATGCAAATAACTTTCGGAAACAGTAGTTTGCTTATTGGCTTGGGCAAATTTGTTCTTTAACGTTAAAAAAAATCTATTTGATTAAAAAACGACCATATACATATAAGTAGTCTTAGCTTAAAGTCGATGACCGCGACCGTGACACTGTTATTTCCTTGTATGGTAGGTTAAGCAGGCTAAGCATGTGGAGCATAATTCTTCGCGGTCATAACGGGTAACCAGATCTGCGTTACGATAGCCGTATTACATTAAGCCCGTAATACTGGGCTCTTTTTATAGTTTGCCTTAAATGACAAGAAATAAGTTTCTGTAAATTCCGTAAAGTACCTACTGTATTAACGATTTAATTTCTTTTTTAGGAGAACGAGTTCATAAAGCAGAGAATTGCTCGCGGTAATGTCAGATTTATCTGGACATCTGGACGTAAATGCAACTTCGCGGGTTGCGATCGCCCCGATCTGCAGCCCCCGAATGTGAACGGCTGGTTCTGGTCCGGCTCCGGCGCCAAAATTGGACCTACCACCCAGCGCAACACCGGCGATTGGTCCTTCACTGGTGGCTTTGGACAAGCCCAGCCTGACAATCGTGAAGCCGCCCAGGTAAGTCATTAAATGGTCAAAATAGGATTGTTCTTTGACAATGCTGAACACAAAGTTGTCTTCTACCTTTGCCAACCAGTTCGAAAAGCTCTTTTATTAAAAAAAAACTAGAGATGTAATTAAAATAATTATTCATAATGAAGTTGTTATGTGGGTCATTTTGTATTAGGTGGACATCGAAAGTTGCTGTAGAAAATTGCATTTGTCGTGATTCATTGATGAATTCCATCACGTCTGCGTTAATCAAGTTGAACGGCACTCGTGGGAAACGAGAGAAAATTGCTGCTGCGGTATTTGATGCGAATTTTGTTTCACAGGGCAACGACGAGTCGTGTCTATCGATCCTGAACAACTTCTACAATGATGGTATAAAGTGGCACGACGTGGCCTGCCACCACGTCAAACCGTTCGTCTGCGAGGACAGTGACGAACTCCTCAACTTCGTGCGTTCGCGCAACCCCGGCCTTCGTCTATGAGAATTTCCATCCCTTACCACACGCCCTCTAGTATTTTAAATGGCTGGCATTGTACAAAAACCAAGTAGCTATCTACTTAAGTTATTTATTAATTTAATATAATTTAATTCACTTTTGTTAGGTACCTTATTTATGTAAGGGTTTCATCAAAAATGTAAATTTCTTTGTGACAATAAAACGTGAAGTATTAATAACTATTTAAGTATGTAGAGTGTAGACTCAACTAACATTGTCCATGCTTGATTGTAAACTGTCACATCTTGAAGGTCAGTCATCCTTTCAATCCTTAAATCTAAAATTATGCTATTGCTTTTGTAAAAAGTCTTTTTGCACAAAATAGGATTAACTTTTAAGAATTATATAAATAAAAAAAATAAAAAATTACTATTTTTTTTATTCCAATGAAATTACTAAATCCAAAACTTAAAAATAGTCAGTCATACATTCCACAAAAAACGCAGAAAAAGTTTTTGGTCCTAGTAACATACAAACAAACACATAAATATGATAGTCAAAACGATTAACTTAAAAACTAACACGAAAACGATTCCAACAAGCGTACAAATGCAAATTTATACATTAAAACAATCCTTTTCAGGATACAAACAAACCTTAGCAATAAGTATACGATTACAAAGAAATAAAACGTATTTTTGTATCACTCGTATTAATACATGGTGAACAAAATCAAAGGATGATATAAAAACTGCCAATGCCAAGTACGAGGCAGAATAACTCTCAACATTCTAAAACATACCGTTTTACTTGCAATCGTTTACAACTTCAAATAACGTGATGTAATAAACGTGTTTATTGCTTTTTAAAATGTTATAGACGGAGTAAAATTTGAATAGAGCTTTCAATGTAGTGAAAGTTAAATTGTTAATACTCTATAAATAACTGGTGTTTTTGAACTTATACCATTAAATTGTGATTTCATTTAAGCGTGCTATCTTTTTGTATCTTTTTATAATTGGGATTTGGCATTCCACACTATATTGACATATTCTTGAAACTTTCAGCATGCCTAATAAAAAATATTTTATAGAAAAATACATACGGAATGTACGCTTCACTTGAAAAGTCGAGTACAGATACGATATAATAAACCTAACATATGAAAAGAATCATTTGAAATTAATAGAACAAGGTTAAAGGTACGTACGTAATGTTTTTTTTTTTTCAATTACTTTAAATGGTAGGAAGCAAGTAACGTAAACTACAACAAGTAATTTCAACTATTGTCTAATAACGACATAAGTCAATATATTCAAAAATACATCTTAATTGTCGTCCTACATTCAGTTTCCGTATCCCTTGATCCTAAATGATTTTCTACTTAAAGATTTCAGATGGGATGAATGTGCTTATGCCATATAATTATGTATAGAGCAGGAACCACTGGCAACAGAAGAGTACCACGACAATTTATTTGAAACTGAGGTCTTGAATTGTGGGAAATTGCATGTACTCCTTGCGTCTCTAAACACGTCAATTGTTACGTACACGTCACCAGTTAATTTAAGTGGGGCTCTATATAGCAGTAAATATATAGTAAAGTTACTATAATTCCTTAAGGCGCTACGTAGACAACGTGACGCCAATTCTATTTTATTGGCAGTGCAAATGAATCCCAAACATAGTTGTATTTGATTAGCATAAGCCCAGATATTATATAGGACTTGACAGATAATAAAGTCATACGTCGTCGTGATACTAAAAACGTTTTTATGAGGTCAACTTATAATTTAAAAAATTGTAACTACTTACTATAAACGAATGACGTTTGTTTGAAAATCCGACTTTTAAACAAAATAACAGAAATCATGACACAAAATAGCAGAAGCGTGAACATAAGATACAGCTCGGAAGTCAAAATTATATTGTAAAAGGGTCAAACTAGACATATCGGTGCGCATCGCCTCCGATGAGGCGTGACGAGAATTGCTTCCTATAATAAAGTATTATGATTGTACCAATTGTCTCTGGGGTACTTCAAAGTCGAGTTTGACTTGTTAAACGTTATTGTTAAAGTTCTTGGCTTATTATATGAAACCAAAATAACAATGATTAATTTTATTTGGATATTGGACGCAAACATTTACAGATACCCTTAAACAATAGACCGTCCCGTTTACACTTTGTGTGTATGTCAAATCCACACAATATGTGTCACAAACACCCACACATATTATAACTTAAAATGCATGTTATAAGTATTGGACATATTGAACCTTACCTTACACATTGCGCAAAAAACAACAAGAAGATTCCTTCCATTTTCAATTAAAAGTTTTGCTTAAAATACAGTGTAATTTTTTAACTGGGACAGTATGGAGAAATCCGAAACCATATATGATATAGGGAAACTGTTTTAGGAACCTAGAGGTATTTCTTTGTGAAAACAAATTTGACATAGTAAATTTTTTAATCAAGCTTGAGTTGTCCATAAAAATAAATAATATTGACAATATTTTTTTCATGCTGATTGATTCACTTCCTTATAAGGATCATTTCATTGTAACGAAAGAAAAAAGTCGGGATAGCAGAAGTCGCTCAAATTTAATGAAATGTTTCTTCATGATTCAATGGTTCCTAAGACAGTTTCCCTGTATTTCCTATGGTTTCGGATTTCCCCATACTGTCCCAGTTAAAAAATTACACTGTATATGACTCATTTAAAAAAATAACACTGTATAAAACAGTTTTGTGTTCATCATGATGAACACAGAAAATGAAAATTGGCTTAAAGTACTGCTTTGGCGTCTACTGTTGGCAATAGTCTTCTTCAGTGTCACGCAGAAAGACAGCTAACGTCGCCAAGTATAGACGAGAGTAAGGGTTTGTCTCTGAGTGCAGCGGTCAAGTCCGACTCGTCCCATTGCAGGCGTAAGCGGCGGGTGCGAGCGGCGCCCGTTCCTCCGACGCGTAGAGCCCCGCGGGCTTCCAAAAGAGAACACGCTCCGGCCATCTCGCTTAGGTCTAGGGGCGCTATATTGCGAGCTGCCGCCACTCTGTATGACAAACAACGTTATAAATTGCCAATGACCAGAGTTCAGAAAAGGTAGAGTATATTTAACAAAACAAGAAGTGGATAATACTTCACTCTGACGGCCGGAATAATTAAAAATTAAAGTAAAAAAAATCAAAACAAGATAGTTCTATTTTTACTTCTAAATACATAATTAATAGATTAATAGAAGAAAACCTCGAAGTGCTTTTTTTACCGTTCAAAACTTTATTTTACCGTTTCTTTAAGTATGTGGTGCGGGTACATTAATGTACTACAATAAACGCAAAATGAGTAATACCAAGGAAAATAATTTTTTGTCTATAGTCTTTTTATAGCTCTTGGTTAGTAGATATATTTAAAAGTTTAGCGCAACGGATAGAAATAATAGATGGATTGGATATAATCGATTTGCATACTTATTTTCCTAGCAGCCTAAGCCGGTAAAGTGTTACACACTCCTTAAATGACAAACTTTGTGGGGATATTTTTAAGTTATGCAAACATTTGCGAGCATGTTTGAAAAAATTAAATTGCTATTCCGCAAACCCAGTGAAGTAAGAAACACGTGTCGGGTATACTTTTGGTGGTTTGTGACTGTAGTTGTACTTGTGCTATTTATTTTATTACTTTTTCTGCACGATTTGACCTTCACTGGGTTCGCAGAGTAGCAAATTAATTTACTTCCATTTTTATTCTAAATACACTACCGTAGTGAAGTAACTTCTTGATATGCTTTAAAATAATATACCAAAAATATACGTGTAATATCCTTGAAGTTTAGGTAAATATACTCTGCCTGTGCCTACTACTCTGCTGACTACTCTAAAATATTATGACACTTTATATATATAACTTATTCTAGGGATATTTTATTGTAGAATCATTATTGTGCAGATAATATATTTTTACGTTTGTTTACTACGACAGACGTTTTGTTTAAAATATCAAGTGATGGGGCGAACAAGTCGGACGCCTGGTGCAAAATGACACGCCTGTCCATAACAGTTCCAGTGCCACTCAGGAGCTTTAAATCGCAAAAATATGAGGGACACTGCTACCGCGCCTGTCACTCTGAGATATAAGTTGACAAGTCCCATGTGCCTGTAATATCACCAGAACTCTTTCAGGTTGCTTACATTACTACTTGGCGGCAGAAATAGATAAAGTGGCAGTACGTTTCTGGATGAACTCTTTCACAAGGAGCTATCTATATTAAGGAAAACTATCGATTCATCAAGAGGAGCAAAGGGTCAACAAATAGCCAGTTCTAGAAATCATATTCTATAAATCGCTTCTTATAATGTCGATGGCATATTTTATACTTATACTATTGTGGCCCAAAATTCAGCCACGCCGACTGCGTCACTAGTAATATGCATGAATGAATGAATGAAATGTGAAATTGTACAAATGACCGGTTTTAATAACGACTGATTCTTTAATTAAATCCGCTCGTGGACAGTTTCGAATACGACAGTACGGGGTCCCCGTATCGCTTTATGGATTTCAAAAAACTAACTACGGACTATAAAGTGCGATTTCCAAGTGCATTCTGTGTAGTTGTAGCTTACTGCTTCTTCATAAAGAAGTATCAATAACGTACTGACAAAATTAAATGATTTACATTTCGTATTACGACACAAGGAAAAGCACATTTTTGTGTGCAGTACTATTTAAGTGTGTCCATGAACGGGTTAATTCTGTATAACATAATTATTAGTACAAAGATCGAACACTTAGAAAAAAATCCTTCGATCCGGCCGGATTCGAACCGACGTCTTCTAGCAAACCTTGCCAGACGCTATCCCATCTAAGCCACGGAACGAACCAGCGGACCTCACGAGTTTTTCTATGTACTTGTTGTAGGATCTTTGTATTTTGGTTTATAACGACTTTTTAGCCGTAGCGTCATCTATGAGAAATCTATGAAAGTATTTCGTCATCCAGTTAGATACTTTTACAGCTACCAGCCCTGGACAGGGATGTCGCTATTAAGTTTTCATTAAATTTTTATTAAATTAATATTAAGTAATTTTTTTGTGATATTACTTCACTAGTTTGTCATAATTATAAATACAAAGATGGAACAGTTAGAAAAAAACGTTTACACACCTCTTATATACGTCATGAAGTTTCCCCATAACAATGTCCTTGCTTTTTCCTTTAGTAAGCATTAACATTAAACTGCATAATATCAACTTTTGTTGCATCGGAAATCCTTCATCCACGTCGCTTTCCATTTTCCTGGATCCTCCATAAACGTCATTGAGTACTTCTAAAACTTGTTTGATTTCAACAGTCACTGTAGAGTCCATTAGCATTGAATCCACAGATTTGTTTTCTGAGAATTTGCTGCGTTTTGCGAGCTCTATGACTCGCCGTCCTATGTCTAATGCTCGTCTCATATCCCCAGATACTGCAGCAATTTTTGCTGAAAAGGAAACAGACGACTGAACTTTTATTTTAAGCGCATAACAAGTATCATATTTTGTATATATTGTATACATTGCGTATACATATTATACATATACCAACCCGTAAAACATATTTTCCCTAAATGGTCCTTACCGCCCCAGTGGGCGCTGAAGAGTCCTATGGGTAGAGGCCTCAGAAGCAATTGGGGGGCGCTGATGCTGTCTAGGGACACTACATTTTTTTTGTTAAGTTAAATAAATAATACTATTTTTTTTCATGGTGGTGGGCATTGAAATTTTTTTCATGCCTAAGTGAGCGGTGAGTCAAAAGTTTGGGAACCTATGCCTTAAAACATCAAATGGTGGGCACGTGTCTTTAGGCCACAGTTGACTATTATGGTTGAGAACTTCAGACATCTTGAGAAAGTTTTCTAAGCCCCTTTGTAATATGTAGGATTACACATTCTTATCAGTGACGAAGATATAGTTTCTGACACCTTTACACTGAAACTAACTAAAAACGTAAAAAATATATTTTACCTGCAAGCATCTGCAAAGCGATAGGCGAAAACAGCTTCGTCTTGTCTTCACTAGCCAATACAGTTGTAAATATATTTATAATCTGTTCCTTTGTATATGGCGCGAAGTGCAAAGTGCGCGGGCGCAGGGAACAACGCGCTTGTAACCTTGGCAACGTACGTTCTGTCAGATCTAGAGCGTTTGCTATACCAATTAGTACAATGTGCGAATTTGCTAAGGCAGGCCATTCGAATATTGTGTATAAAACTGATTGCTTTTTGCTATCCAGTTGATCTATTTCGTCGAGGACCAATAAACTGCAATAAATAAAAATTGAATATCAGCGTACTGTTCATTCGTTATTGGTTTATTTCTAAAATTATGGTCCTGTCAACAGCACCAGCAGGCTTAGCATGAGCCCGAAGGCAAAAGTTATACCTTCTTCGAACTTCTCTCGAAAATCTCGAGTAAATTGACAGTTCGAAGAAGAGATAACTGATAACTTTTGCCTTCGGGCATGAGCCCGACAATAAGCCTGCTGAATTCACACTTTATTTGACTTTGATCCGTCTTATTGCGAGTGGCATAAAGTCGCGGATAGTGCAATAAAGCGTAACTAGCATTGGATTATGAGTTTCCATGTCGGAAATGTAGGGGCCAAATGAAATCCGCGTAAATGTCGTGGCAACCATATAGCCTCATTTACGGATACCTATTATTATCCGTCCGTACACAAGTAACATAAATTAATGCTTACTGTGCAAACATTTACGTCGTACCCATTAAAATAACAAAGTAATAACGTTAAATCCCTCTGCTGTAAAATTTGGTTTAGTGCTGATAGGCGCCTTTTACCAATACTAGATGCGCGGATTTGCACTATACCTAGCCTAATGGAATTCAAACGTTAATTATAAGAGATATACCGTTGTCGGAATGCATAAGGAATGTTGACTTATGTTAACGATGTTATTCAATTTCAATTGTTCAATTAATCTTAAAGCTCTATTTAGAAAAAAGTTCGAAGGACTAGGTCTGTTATGAGATTACCCTGAAGTACTTATCTTCATTCTCGGCAACCTTTGACGGGGCAAAAAAGGTGTTACAAAATGAGAAGCTTACATCATTTTATGTTTCTTGTTCAAGTACTTCTCAATGGCAGCAAGACAAGCCTTCTCGGTGGTGCCTGCTGTCTGCAGCTGCAGTTCCTTGCAGATCCTGTTGTAAATGCTCGTGGCGGACTTCATCATAGTACAGTTCACGTACACTTGTTTGTAGCCTTCTTGGAACTAAAATACATATTAATAATAATAATAATAAAATCATTTATTTCCAATCACAATGGTATTGATCTTATAATAGATACATACAGAAATTGAAATGACAATTCTGTTTGACCATTGTGAGAGAGCGGAATCTGTACTAGGATACCCTGTGTTACAGTATTCCGACCCCCCACTCTCAGACTCGATCTAGAAATATGTGACAAAGGTGCAGTTAATAACTATTAATACTTCACAACAAAAATAATAAAAAGAAAAGAAAGGATAACAAAAGTTAGAAAGCTAAATCAGTACAATACGTTGTAATGTGTAAATTGTGTGTGGCTGTGTGTGTTTGGGTGTGCGTGCGTGCGTGCGTTCGTGCGTGCGTGTGTGTGTGTGTGTGAGAGAGAGAGAGAGAGAGTCAGTACGTAAGTGTAAGTATAAAAAAATAGTAATAGAAAGGAACATTTTATTTTATTTTCAATTATTCCTGCATAAATTATTGTATGTTTTCGAGTTCTTAGGTTTACGCGATTGTTACACATAGGAAATGAAACTATTTTTCCGGTTTTAAATCGCGTATATTTGTTTTTCAAACAAACCAAAGTTTCGGGCACTTTACAGGTCCCATGGTCACGGTTGAATAGTTTCATTTCCTGTCATTGACTTACAATTATATGGACGTCGGGTCCGCGCTAAAAAGTGTCCGAACTTTAGGTCGTTAAAATCGTATACAGAGCGTCATTCACGCTTTAGTCTTCGTTTGTTCGACTGACAGCGAAGCAAGCAAAATTAGACAGTACTGCGATGACATTACAATTTAAATTCAACGTTTTAGCTTTTTCATATTCCTTTACATGTCACTACGTTTAAATAGGTTGACTTGGGACTTTTTTCGTGGTTTTTGTATTAGATTAGATCCGTCGTCCATTTATTTGTAAGTCAATGTTTCCTGTATTTTATGTTAATTAAAATATTTTATTATTGTATTGTTTTTAGCATTATTTCAGTTTCCTCATACGATTTTAGTGGTAAGTACTTAGTGACTGTTAATGTACATTCTTTACGTATTTTTGAGAAAATGTCAATGGCTCGGTATACATTATTATACAACATTGGTCTCAAAAATAGTTGATGTCGTTTTGCGAATGACGAACATAGTTCAGTTCTGAAAATTGTCTTTCCGTCTTATTTTTGCCAGTTCTAACGGATCGTACGTTGTTTTTGCATGGCTATCTAGTATAGACTTGAGTACAAACAATTGGCGGACTGTCAGCACTTTTATGTCTGCATATATTTGTACGGTTGGGTATGTACAGCGTTTGCACAGCATTACCTTCAGTACCGCTCGTTGAGCTCTTTCAACATTTATCAAGTAACGTTTAAACGTACCTCCCCATGCAGTAATGCAGTACGTTACCAATGACTGGCATAGGGCGAGATAGGTCATTTTGAGTAATTTCAGCCCATAAGCGGATCTTAGACGCTTAAATACATAAGTTAGCTTACGAATTCGTTTAGTAAGTACTTCAGTATGATGCTTCCACGAAAGTGTCTAATCGATATATACGCCAAGATATTTTTTTATTTTGCTCTTGTTCTAGAAAAACACATGAACATGTATCAGGATTGATAAATGATGTAAAAGTATGAGCCTTTATATGTAAGTTAGAAGGTTGAAGGCGTTCTAGCTTTGTAAATGTAACGTATTTCGTTTTATTTAAGTTAACGGTGACGTAACAAATTTTGCCGTAGCCACTTCATAACTTGACCGACCTGCGTTTCTACTGTACTAGTTAGTTCGTCTCACGACAAGCTCTGGAAATCCAAAGTTGTATCGTCAGCGAAAGCAAAAACTTTACCCTTATCCAGCTGAAGATTGCAAAGATTATTTATGTAAATTAAGAATAAGCTAGGACCAAGAACGCTACCTTGTGGCACCCCGTAGTAAATACGTTGAGTATCGCTTACAATATTGTTGATTATGACCTGTTGTGTTCAATTGTTAAGGTAATTGGCAAACAAATTTAAAGCTTATTATCTTATGCCTATTTTTTCTAGTTTATTCAAGATTAGTGGTACTGAGACAGTATCAAAGGCCTTAGCTAGATCCAAAAATACTGCTAAGCATTTCTTTTTTCGTTCTAATTGTGTAACTATGTATGCAACTAGGTCTTTTACTGCATGTTCAGTAGATTTTCTGGAAGTAAAACCGTATTGATTATTAGGGATAATATTGTATTTTTGTAAATAATTCCTTAGCCTTTTATTTATTAAGCGCTCTAACACCTTAGATAGCGAAGGTTAAGTAGATATGGGTCTGTAGTTAGTGATACTGTTTTTGTCCCCAGCTTTAAAAATAGGTTTGACTAACGCAGTTTTGAAACAGTCAGGAAATATACCTTCTATGAAACTCCTATTGCATGTATGCGTAATTGCGGGTACAAGAACATGAGAAGCCATTTTAGGGCCTTTGTAGGTATGTCATCAATACCTGTAGCCGGACTATTTTTGAGTTCCATAATGGTACCATGGACTTTTTGAAAATCAGTCTCGGCCAGATAAAAAGAGTTAGAGACGGTTACATCCGATTCATTTGAGTTGAGGGGAGAATCTTTCATGATCTTCTCAGCAAGATTTTTTCCTATATTAACAAAATAATCATTAACTTTATTAATTGAGTCATTAGGATTTTCTGTAAGATACAGAAGTTCGCTAGTATCGTTAGTCCCTGAACCTAGCTTAGCAACATTTCGGATTACATTCCACGTCTGTTTGGTATTATTTCTAGCTGTTGAGAATAAAGTCTTATTATATTCACTTTCCACTCGTTTCAGATCATTACAAAAATTTCTGTATCGCTTATAAATTGTAGTAATTGTTTTCTTTTCAGGATATTTTTTTGTTTTAGTATGCAGTTTGTCGCGATTCCTTATACACTGTAGCAAACCCGGCGTTACCCAAGGTTGGATAATTGCTTTCCGGTTTGCTGTATTTTTTATTTCGGTATTTTTATGGACAGCATTTTTTATAGTGGTTAGCAGTAGTTTGGTAGCTGTGTTAGTATCATTACATTCTAGAATGGGGCTGAAGTCTGTATTCTCTAACTCGTAAACCACACCAGTAAAATCTATACTTTTATTAATAGACGGAGGTTTAGTTATTTGGTTTCTTTTATCGACGCTAAAAATGGTAGTGTCAGATCACAATCTGTCAGGGTAGTACGTATGACGGCAGTTGATGTATTTAGTTCAGATTTTATTAAAATGTGATCTAAGCAGCTTTGTTCCCGAGTAGGAATCATGTGTCCCGGGACGAGTTCGTGAAAACTCAACAAATTTTGATAGTCGTTAGAATGGGTACTACTTTCTAATATATTTATATTAATATCCCCAGTTAAGTACACATTTTTGTACCCGTTCAGAGACTGTAATGTGTCATTTAGTGACGTTAGAAAGTTGTCGATATTATGGTGCCGATAGCAGGTGGCCGATCAATTTTGATAGTCGTTAGAATGGGTACTACTTTCTAACATATTTATATTAA